ATCACCGCTTCTGCCTCATCGTCTCACTCCAGTCAGTCTCCTCTTCTGTGTAGTTCCAAGGTTGTAGTAGAGCTTCTCCTCTCTTTATTGAGTGAAAGGTGGATGTGAGGCGATCCATCGAGAACCTCTTTTCCTTAGTTCAAAAGACGACAACCGTGGCGCTCGTTGTTGGTAATCGATTAGCTTAACTTTCCTGCTCCTGATGCCATTTTACTTGGGTTTTGAGGACGACCCGTTGTGAAGGTATCTCCCGCATTAAGGTGGAGCTCTCTCTTGCCGATTTGAGTGCTCATTTTTGAGGAGTTGTGGCTCTTCTTGCGCTTCATTTCTCTTGTTCTGTAGCTCGACAGTTGGTTTAGTGTGCATCTGAGTCTTTGCCGCATCTCATGTGTCGTGTGGCCGGTTGGGGAGCCAATTTGTACCGCCTACGCTTGACTAGTAACCCGAGTTTCGATTGTCAGCAGCTTCGATTTGGGTTGGTACTTTTATCTACTATCGAGAAAGCTTGGGTTTGTTTGGTTGACGTCCTCCTCCAGTAGTGTTCTGGGGTGGGAGCCAGACACCTCCGTTGAAGCTGATTGGAGCCACTTCGGTGAGTGCTCGACTGAAGTCTCCTTCTAGCTTTTCTTTTGCCTCTTCAGGATTGCTCCTGTTATAGCAAGAAGCGCTTCGGACATGGAGTATCATAGTGTTGTCTTTGTTCTATTATGTCATATTATTTTCAAGATTTCTACTGTTAGAAGCTTGGACTCGATAATCTAGGTTCTTAGGGGGTTTTTAAATTTTTTGTGGCTTCATCGAATCAAATGGCTGTCTCAGCAGACTGTGGTTTCGGATTCAATTTGTAACCGAACTTTCATTACTAGAAATGACATTTACAATTTAGCAAAAAAAAAAAAAACCAGTTTTAGTTTTTTTTTCTTTTAGTTTTTTTTCTTCATTTGGTTAGTCATCCATCTAAATTAGATTAAGTAGTGGTCAGACGAGCCGATTCTCCTAAGAGCACTATTGTGTGGCCGGGTTTGATCTATATGGGGAAATGTATAGCATTTGGTCCTTTTTTTTTTGCTAGCGCGTCTGTTTGACTATTCATACTCCGAAGAATATGAGACATGCTCATATCCTTGAAACCTTCCTGCAATCCTTAGAACACCTCGATCTATGTTGTGAAAGTCGGCCAATCCTCCAGAAAGAAAGTTTTATCCCAAGTATCAAAATGATATCTTCTGGATAAAAAAATTCTCGTAAAAGATGTTTATCCCACTCTTTGGTATCATTCCTAGTAAATGATAGTTCAAATCAGTTTATTTTTGGGTATATTAGGTTGTTTTATTATTGAACAAAATCACAATTTATTCTTGTTTTAAATATATTATTATACTATTATTTTGTAAATATATTTAAAAATTATTTTTGTAATTTGGTCTATGTTGTTTCAGGAAAAGTGAAAAAAATAAATAAGTATTAATGTATTTAGAGCTGCTTTAACCAATATAATAAATAATATTCTAAAAACCCATACACATATTTAATAATTACATAATTAAATCATAATAATATATATACTATTGTTTTCAAGTGAATTTGCTTAGTATCGTGTTCTCCATGATTTTAAGTTATTTTACTTATGTGTCATGTTTTAAATAATTTTTAGTTGAATCATTAATTTATTAATTTCAGTACTATTATTAATTTAAACTTTCTAATTAGATATATAATCATGTTCTCTGTAACTTTAAGTTATATATGTACATTATTATTTACAAAGTTATTTTTTGCATCAAAAATTTCATGTAAAAAATTAGAGTGATGTTACCCTAAATAAATGATACATATAATTATCCAAAAATAAAAAAAAATTAAAATTTATCATATTAGATAAGTGACTAAAATAAGTAATAATAAGAGTTATCTGAAATCTAAAAATATCTTTTATAATTCACAAATAATTCCTATCTGTTTGGTGTTATTATCTAAAAATATATTTTAATAAAATTTACAAATTCAAAAATTAAATTTACATAACTAAATATTAATCAAATCAAATTCTTAATTTTATATAATTCAAAAGAGAATACTTAGTGACTTTAAAGATTAATTTATTAATAATGAGTATAGTATACAATTAATATCTTTTATACCATTAATAAATAAAATATATAAATTAGCCAAAAAAAATTTAAAATGTATTGGATTAGATAAGAGATTAAATTTGAAAATATTAAATTGCAACAATTCCTCTAAAATGAACTAACTGTTTTTATTAGTTGTTTCATTTAGTTTGGTCTTCTTCTTACGTTTATAAATATATAATTTGAAAAATATATATATCAACTTGTAAGTATGTATTTATAAATATAATGTAAAATTGTTATGAACCACTTAATGGTATAATATTATTAGGGGTGGGCACGGATCGGATATCCGGGTTTTTCAAGGTATTTGTGATTTACTTAGAATGTTACGGATATCTAATTTTGATATTTGTTTAGCATCGAAAAATACAGATATCCGGAAAAACGGATATCCGGAAAATAAATAGATATTTGCGGATATTTACAAATATTTACGGGTATCTCATCCATTTTGATTAATACAAATAATCTTAAAATTTTGATACAAATTTCCTTTGCAATTTTTTTGCATGATATATAATATACAAATTAAAAGAGCTAGTGAATTTACATATTTTGTAATTTTTTCAGTTTAAGTTACAATTATAATAACGCAGAATTTAAGAAAAGAATATAATGTCATAAGTTTGATCTCTCTTTTTATGTAATACTTCTATATACATAATAATATGAATAAAATTGTTCAAAATCAAAATAATAATTTTATAATTTTATACATTTAAAATTTAAATATATTCAAGATATACATATATTTATATATTTTCGGATCGGATCGAATATCCGCTTCGTATAATTTTAATATTTGTGATTTGCATCGATTTTAACGGATATTGATTTTTAGTATTTGATTTGATTCGAAAGTTTATGGATATCCGGAATTTTCGGATCGATCGAAACAAATAACGAATCAAATCAAATTTAACGGATAAAATGCCCAGCCCTAAATATTATGAAAACAATTATGTTTAAGTTTATTTACATATATAACCTCCATGAATATCTTTATAACAGTAATCATATGACTGAATAGGTCTCTTGACAAGAATTTTGGATAAATCACTCAAATATGAACCAATATCCAATATCAAATATCCAATATTCAATAGCCAATATCAAATAAAACGAAGAACCATATCCAATAGATTGTTTCTCATGAAAAATAACTTGGGAAAGAATGAGTCTGAGCCTTATCTACAATATATAGAATATATTCCTGAGTCCTAAATTCCTAATACTTACTTAGTTTGTGGGTAATGGTATAATCATTAACTTTGACTACATTTGCCTTTAAAAATTTATGCATTTATCATATTTCTCGGTCAACGTTTGTTGTCTATATATGTTATTGACTCTTAAAGTAAAGAATATAATAATATATAGAAATGATAATTCCTAGATATATTTCCACAATTCTGCTAACTACTAAAACATACAAATATTTTGAAACCCAACCAAAAATTCACCAAAATGTTTGACAATTAACCGTTAGATAAAAAATAAGCGGTCGAATATGATCATGCTTTGACAAATTAACCGTTAGATCAAAAACTAACTAATATATATCTATATGATTCGCTAATTAGAATAATCTGCTATATAAAATCTATTTATTTGATGCTCCAGTTACAGTAAACTTACTATAAACTAATAACTTAAATATTAAGTTTAGAAAACAATAATTTAATATTATCAGAGACAAACTTGACATTTTAGCTCGTCTAACTGAAAGCTACAAATTAAAAACTAAATAAAATAGGAAAAATCTATTAATAATTGTTAACTGTAATTGAAACTAAATAAAAAATATAATATGTTAAAATTTTACTATGATTGAGATGAAATAAAAAATAAAGATAAACTACAAAAAATTATCATCTAATAAACGAATTCACTAAAATTGTCGAACTTAAATTTAATTGATGGTAAAATCTCTAAATTCGTTTAATCATTAACTAAGTTATTTATTAGATAGTAAAATATAAACATAATTATGTTAAAATAAATTATTGTAAGCAACATTATATATAAAAATTAGTAAATATATATAATATAATAAAATAGATTTATCTTTAACAAAATAATTTTATTAATTAACTTAATATATTTTCAAATATAGAAAAAATTGGATCTTCTTTCCATTAGTTTTTGGTATTGTTTTGATAAAACCAAACCGAAGTGTATACCTCTCATAAAACCAAAAATAAAAAGAAATCTCTTTAGACATTGCTGACACTTGGATGATAAAAGATTAACCAAATATATTGTTACCAAATAAAATTGTTGAATTTTACTATAAGAATACCAACTCTCTCCTTGGCAGCAGACACATCTCTTCTTTTTTTTTTTTTGGGCAACACATCTCTTCTTCTTCATCATCTTTTTCAGCTACCTTTTTTTTGTAACTAATCTTTTTCAGCTAGCTTCGCTGAAGAAAAGGTTTCTCCTTTACGTCTATATGTCTTTTTTTTTCTGTCAAACTTTCATTCATATTGATTGAAGAGCTGATAATAGATCATTGTACGAATTAAGGGTTAAACAACCATGCAGGTGGATACAATTTATGAAAAAAGGTTTTGGACATACTTTAGCTATTAAATGGGCTGGTTCATGTTTTTTTTTTTTTTTTTTTTTTTTTAAATGGGCTGGTTCATGTTTTTTCTTCTAGCATAGTTAAACAAACAATGATGGAATTTTTTTTTTTCAATATGATCTATTAACACTTTGGTCACCGTAGAAAATGGGTGATCTTTACATCTGTATGTAGTAAATTATTCATTAATTTTCCAATCATTCAAACTTCTTAAGCTATTCTTTTTATTTTGGTTTGTGTGTTTTCTTGACATACCAGGCCCCCCCCCCTCCCCAATGAGTTATTGGGATGACAACTCCATGGAAATGATTTCGTCGTGGAATTCCCCCGAAATGAGTGATTGTGATGAGACAGTACGCGCGATGCTGGAGCAAACCGACAACGGTCTTAATCCGATCAGCCAAATCTTCCCGCAAACCAACTTATCAACTGATCACCAGTCTGAAGAAGCATCCAGTCTCGGCGAGGGAGTATCTTCAAGAAATGCATTTAATGTTCCACCGCTCGAGGCAGAGAACATCATGAGTCCATTGGCTGTTTCTAGAAGCCAGACTAATGTTCATTCTCCTCTCATCGCAGTCTCTCCAAGATTCAGCCCATCGGCACTGTTGCAGTCTCCAAATACGTTCTCTAACTCTTTTTCACAGGTGAATAACAACGCCATATATAATCATATCATAAATAGTTGAATGAATATGTACTTCAACAAAAGAATTGGAAATTTTTTTGTATAATTATTTTCAAAATGATTAGTTCTTTAAAATATAAAAAGTAGATATTATATGTTGGTAAACATATAGTCTTTCATATCACTCAGTCTCCTATTGTCAATGACGGGCCTCCCAAGATGGTGGGAAGTTCTCTTGGCGACTATGCAACAACGATGGTATTCAACAACAATGTTCCTCATCAGCCGATGAACTTTGATCATATGCCTTATAATGAAGGTTATAGAGTTGCTTGATCTCAAGTTTGCTTCCATTTTTATTGTTTATTCTTCTTCTTATATTTATCAGTTCTTTTCCATATAAGAAACAGGCTTTTATGATAATCCAACGGGAGAATCTGTATATGTCCCATCTCATGTTGATCTCACTGGTGCTCCTTTAATCACTTCTTCTGAATCTGATGAAGTCTCTGCCGAAAGCGATATCATGAACATCATCTCTTTCGACAGCGACTGGGATGAGGACGAAGAATATAAGGAAGACGATAATGTTGACGGAGACAAAGAAGATGCCAGTGTTGATGAACTTCCACCCAAAAAGAAAAGGTATCGCGTTAACATCGTATATTCAGTAATACTAAGCTTAGCATCTTAACTAAACTAATCTAAATTACACAATGAATTCCTTGCAGGAAATATGAGGTATCAAACATGTTTGGAGCCAAAAGAACAAGGAAGGATGAAAGGGTTATACTCCGGATGGAATGCGAAGAAGACAATCCTGACGATGGTTTTCAATGGAGAAAATATGGCCGGAAAACTGTTAGTGGGAATTCAAATCCGAGGTCATCATGTTCTTATCTTTAAAAATATATATATGATAAGTGGTGCATTTGTGGGAACCTCTTTAAGGAAGAGAATTGCTCACTCCAAAATTAGCCTGGCATTTGAAAAAAACTAGATATTCGATGGCAAATATAAATATACTTATATTTAATTATGGTATAAATTGTTTTCACAGGAGTTACTACAAATGCACATTCGCTGGGTGCAAGGTGAAGAAGCATGTGGAGAGAGGAGCAGACGATGTGAATTTACTGGTGACTACATACGATGGGAAACACAATCACCCTACACCAACTGGACGCAGTAGCACCAGATCTGGTCCAAGGAACCGTTCTGGTTTTTCAGTGTCTCAACGGTTCCGCGGGCTGCCTTCTTCCTCTCCGGCATGTCAATATTGCACTTCTTCTTTGAAGCCACAGCTCTATATGACTGGACACTCTAAGCTGCCGAGTTTTCCGGTATACCATAATCATGCCCGACTGTACAGAGGTGTACAATGGGATCAATGATCGACTATTTTCTAACTTTGGTTTCAACTATTAGATCGCAAAACTTTAAGATCAAAATAATAAAAAACCCTTTTTATATCCTTATCAGATATACAATAGTGTAGAAGATATACAAAATCTTTTACTCATCCCCTTTCATTATGAATTTTAATGCATATCGCTCTTTGAGTTAACCTATCAATCTCCAGCACTTGTATATTGAACATGAACTATGTGAATCAAACAGCCGATCCATACAATCAGATTAATCAACAGAGAAGAATCTTTGTGTTTTGTTCTTCGTTTGCTTTGGTCGATCTTTCTTTACTGCTTGATCTTCCTCTTTCAATGAATATCACTTTACACTCGTCAGTAGAATAATTTTGGAGTCAAGTTTCTAATAAGAAACTATTTTCCCTTTTAAGTTTATGCACTTGGCATATTCCCCGGGCGAACAACTTTTGTGTCTATTTATGTTATTGATTGGAAATAAATAATAACTAGAATTTGCTCCGTGCTTTCAAAGCGCGAGATTATTTTCGAAATAAATCAAATTAATAGGATATAAATTTGCATGTTTGAATATGTATTTACACTTAAATGTAACATTTAAATATTACATGAAACATTATATTCAGTGTTATGAAATACGACTTAGACAGTTGTTAAACCGACAAAACCGATGATTTTATATGTAATCCGGTTTAGTCTTTTTTAAACCCATTATTTATTTTTTTATAAAACTTCCAAAATTCCCGCTAAAACCTGAGACTCGCCTATTGGTTCAAAGTGTGGGAATATTTTTGAAACAAACAAAATCTATGTTATATAAATTTGTATTTTTGATTATATATCAACATTTACATGTTATACATAAAGCATTATATTCAGTGTTCTGAAACATAATCTGAACCCGTAGGTTAACCGACAAAACTGAAGACTTTATATGCAATCCAGTTTGGTTTTACGAAAAAAATCGTTATAAAAATTCTATAAACCTGCAAAAAAAATTGTGTATTAAGGTTAATGGGCATTATTTTTGCAAGAATATTCAAAAGTATTTTGAAAGAGATTATCCCATTAAACAACTTATTGGATAAATATTATTTGTACAAATTATATAGTTTTCTAGGCCCAAAAACCAAAAGACCATAATGCCACTAATGAAAATAAAAATTTGTTCATAACATTAAGGGTAATTTGGAAAACGTAAATATCTCATTAAAGGGAATGATCCCATTTTAATGGTATTGATTCATAGAAATAATATATCCTCAAGATACAATAAACTTCTATAAATTAATAATGTTGGGACTTTGATATTTTATTAATTTATAGAGATATTAATTTACAAAAAAGAATTATTGAAATTTTTACATTTTGAAGATATTTTTATTTTTATTCTGTGATAAGAAAAATATTTGATTTTAGTATATAAATATTAATTAATATTTTGTGAAATTTGACATTTATATTAATTATATTATATTATTTGCTGTATATAATATATATTGCATATAATTTAAATATGGTTTTAGATATAATATTACTAAATCTCATAAAAATATATTAAGTATTAAGAAAATATAAATATAATTTTCTTGTAAATATAAACAAACAATATAATGATAGGTTCTTACTTATACAAAATATGTATACATATAAATTATTATTTATAATTTTTAATGGGACAATATATTTACTCAAAAATATTATCTTATTATTTTATCGATTTATGTCAAATTTTGAACCAGCCCAAGTTGAGACCAACAAAATTTATTAATTTATAGGGATTATTAATTTATCGAGTATTAATTATAGAGGTTCTACTGTATTTCTACATTTGTTCGAGTTGACCACTAAAACATATATAACTATTTTGAGCACTGAACCAAAGTTTAACCAAAATGTTTTGGTTTGCATCAAGATCAAACGGTCGAACTGCATTCATTTGATAAGAATCTTATTTTTCAATTAAAAGTTATCAATTAACGATTTTTCAAAAGTCTTACTATTTTTTGATAAACTATATTGATAATACTTTTTGACAATAAAATATAATGCCGTGAAATCTAAAATTGAATAAAATATACATACATGACAGTAGGTAATTGTTCCACGCGCATTCGCAAAGTAAAATTTGTATCCTAATTATTTTTGAATACTAAATTGAACCATCATGTCATAATTTCTAAACGTACAGTCATGGATCATCAACATAAGATTTATGAATGGGGTCATGTTTCTTAATATTTTGTTTTTATTAATCTATTTATTTAATATTGGATTCAATGATATCATCCAGATATTCTAATTCACAATTTCACATCGATATAAATTATTGTATTTTTGAAATGATATGATCAAATAACATTTGAGATTCACGCTTGCGCGAAATGAACAGTAATTATGTGTACAATTATTTATACATATTATTATTTTTTTTTTCATTTACGTATTATGCAATAATACATGTATTAAATAATTAATCTTTTTTTATTACGTATATGATTAAATTGGAGTAATCACGGAAACAAAAATAATCTCTCTTTGTATTTACAGTAATTTTTGTTTGTTAAAAAATAAAAAAATCATTTTATATGGTATATAGTTAAAATTAAATGATAATTACATAAATATGTAGTATATATTAATATGAATATTTATTAATTCAGATTTCTCACTCATGCGATTTTATTAACATTTTTTTATATTTACTGTAACACCAATAATATTTTTAGTAATATGAATATTTATTAATTAATGTTTCCTACTCAATGAAAATTTTGAAATTAATATGTTTTTGTATTTATATATGAATATATTTTAATTTAAAGGATACTGAAATATATATATTACTCTGAATATATATGAAATGAGACTTCATATTTATATGATTTTATGATCGTTTGTATCTTGTTAAACAAAAAAGTTTAAATCATTAATCACAAAAATTCAATATAGATTTTTAACAGCCTTAGTAATTTAGAATCATTTAAAATATTTAAAATAAAGCATATAAGAAAAAGCTATTTTTATTATATGATTAATGTGACTTTTTAATTTCTTTTGAGAATATAAAATTAAACAAAAATGATATAAGATAGAATAAATGTTATTAAAAATCTATTATTCAAAATCATTAACTGTCATATATTTGTTAACCATATTAGGTAATTCGTAATTTTGTAGCTTTTATTTAAGAAAAAATGAAAAATATTATTTTATACACTACTAATTAATCTTATAGTTAATATAATAAAAATGTAATATATGTTAAGATGGATCAACCTATTTTTTTTTTAAGATTCTAAGAATTAATTTAGTGATGAGACGAGATTAACAAATCATGTTGTAATACTCCAGGATTAAGGTATAAGGGATTTACCAATATATGTATTAGCTATATGTACCTCTTTTCTCACAAATAACAATCTCAGTATCTCTCTCTTTTCTCATTTGGATCAAAAATTCTCTTATTTTGTGTTTTTTTAGTGTTTTACTCTATTCTTCATAAACTAATACAAATGACGTTTATGTCCACTAGAAGCAGTCTTATAAAATACATTAGGGAAAATTATTTTTTAGGCTAAAAAATTTAGGACATTGTCCCTTTAGGTTTTTATATTTTGTATCATTTTTGACTCTAATGCCCTTAAATATTTTCAGAAATTAACCAAATAATCTGTTTTATGAACAAACAAAAGTTCAAAAAATAGTAATTAATGATGAAATGCTTATATCAACTTAGTGATATATTTTCCAGTTTAAAAACTTTTTAAATCATAATTTCATATTTTGTTCTACATATATTAGAATTGACGTTTTATGAAGTAGAATATGAAATCCATTTTTTTTCATAAAATCTACTATATTCAGAATACAGGTTTTACATAAATAATAGTAATCTAAAACTATTTAGAATACACATTCTAGAGTTAATCTATCCCTCTAAAATCAGTAGAATTCGGAATCTAAACATTAATATAAATCTAAAATAGGTAGAAATCAGAAGCTACACATTAATAAAAATCTGACACCTGTAGTAATTGATTTCAAACATTCTTACTCCATTCTACATATTCTACTGATAAGGACAATCAGTTGTAAAAATTTGGGAATAAAATATTTGGAAATTTTCAGTTACCATATATTAAAATTCAATTTTTTTTTTTAAAAACACACAATATATATATATATATATATATATATATATATATATATATATATATATATATATATATATTATTTTCTAATTATAATTTCGAATTAATAAAATATATCCAAATATTGTTTTAAAATATTTGGAAATATTTCCGAAAATATTTTTAAATATTTAGAATTTGGTAACTTTGGGAATATTTGGAATTTTTTTTTAATTTGGAATAAGTATTTATTTTAATATTTTATTGCAAATTAGTTTTTAAAGTATTTGGAAATATTTATTATGAGATTCTGTTTTTTTTTGTTTTAATTTTATGTAGCTTATTTGAAAAAGTAAACACTAAATTGTGATAGTTTTTCTATACAAAGTTCAATTTTTTTTTGTTTTTGAGAATTTTAAAAACAAATATATTATATAGAGAAAAAAAATAATGAAATGAATTTTAAAAAAAATTAAAATGAGAAGATATTTTTAATTGAGTTAATAGTTTAGATTATTTGGTTATGAACTTATAATTAAAATGAGCCACAATTTAATTACAATGTTCAAATTTGTTTTCACCATAATGAATGGATTAGGCTTTAGTTTTATTTTAATTGACCAAGCCCATATATGGATTAAGGCCAATGGTATGAAAAAGTAAAATTTGAGGAAAACTAATTGATATTTTCTATTTGTAATCTAGTTTTAATAATTTAGATATTTTATTATCGTAAAATTTAAAGACACAAATATTACATGTTATACTAGGCTAAACCCGCCCTACGGGGGGGGGGGGGCGAATAAATATATATATATATATATATATTAATTTATTTTAAGTAAAAGTAGCATTAGCATTTATAATTTTTTGAAA